ACAACAGCAACGTCTTGGTGTGTTTCACCGACGTCTGTAGTGTTGTCATTCGCGCCCAGAGATGTAATAGTGAGTACCTCACTGCATAGTGCTTTTGGTCGGCTTCCCTTGTCAGTGTGTTTCAAATCTTCTAACATTTCACGCAATTTTTCTGTCTCTTCCGAGCTCAGAGGTGGAGGGCCATTTTTCTGGGATTTTTGTGATTTTTTCGCCTCTGGACGTTTCGTCCGAGGTGGGGGGCGGCTAGGTACGTCTTTTTGGGGTTCCTCTCGGTTCCCATATTTTTGCGTCCTCCGCTGATCCCATTTACGATAATCACGTTCGTCCTCTGAAGGAGGAGCCTTTTTGTCCCAGCGTGCACCTTCATGATGCGGTTTGTTAGTCTGAAAATACTGCCTTTTTTCTCCTTTTTTAGGAGGAGGTGGCGATGAACGCCTTCCTTCTAATTCTAGGGAGTGGGGTTTAACCTTTACACCAGGAAACACTTCTATGGGCGTCTTGGCATGAGAACGTGCCTCAAACACATTCACAGCGCACTGTTTAATCTCACTGATGGATTTTTCTCTGTAATTTGCCATCATTTGCACTGACGTTTGTATGTCAGGGTGGAGATTTTTGCTGAAAACAAATTTAAAACCTTCTTCTTCCTCCATCCCGGTTTCATTTCTGTTACCAAAATAAGCTTGGAAGATTCTTTTGTAATAAACTTTTGGATGTTCAGCTTTACCCTGCGTGACCTTTTCTGCGGCTGGATATCCAGCTGGTCCTGTGCAGGAATCATACTCTTTGATCAGAGCTTCACACAGAAGTTTGTAATCCCTTCTCGTTGCATCTGGTAGACGCTCGATGAAGGTAAACACCTCTCTGTCCGAAGTGAGTCGTATCAGACTGATTTTATCTTCTAACGTAGCGTTAGGATAAGATCTCAATCTGAAATCCAGATCTCTGAGGTACGCTTTTGTTCCAGTTGAGCCCAAGGGTCCAGGAACGAAGCGTTGTACATATTTTGAGATTTTTTGCAAGTCATCCATTGATGGAGAAGATATCAATGGTCTCACATGCGTGATCAGTTGTGGGGGTGTTACTCTGCCCGTTTGTGTAGGTGTTAGGATGGGTCTAAAAGCACCGGGTGAGTAAAGAGGTTGTTGAGTTATTGGTGTATTACCCCGACTCTGTTCAGGGTCTGGTTTGGATTCCAGATCACCTTGCCCAACTTCATTGCCTTTATCTGTTGCTGCTTTTAGTTTCTCCTTACATTTTTTTAAATGTTCCTGGGATGTATAATAGTCATCTTTTAAACGCATATGTAGCTCTTGTACAATTTGTTTATCTATTTTACATTGTTCCAGTTCCATTTTTGCGAGCTGTAACTCTCTTTGTAGCTGTTCATTATCTGAGCACGCAGCTCTGTATTGACGGTCTATTTCTTTAATCTTTTCATTAGATTTTGTTTCTAGTGACGCCTGCATTTCTGCGAGCTGCTCCTCATGTCTTTTAGACATCCAGTCAAGGTGCTCCGACCGTTCATCCAATTCAGCTTTTAGAAGCAGAGAGATTTTTGCTAACCGTTCAAGGCTAAGCTTTTTACTCTCTGTCTGTAATGTTCCTGCGGCCAGACTTTTCAGCTCTTCTTGTCTTTGAAATTCATCGAGTTGTTGTAATTGCTGTATTTGTGTACCAATAAGTGGAGTTGTTAAAATATGTAAGGCCCCCAAAATGATATCATCATTTGTTGGTTTTAAAAGGTTCTCTTCTTCTTCTTCGCTTGCCATTTTTCTTCTATTTAAGGATTAAACAGGAGAATTTTAATGTTTTAGGTTTTTCAAAATAAATAAAATCAGCAAAGTCTCTTTGTCTGATATATTTGCTTTTATTTAGTGATTTATCAATTAAACGTGCATTATCCTTTTAGCAAATGAGTAAACTTTTTCCAACTTTGTGAAAATCTGTAACTGTTTCTATTTTTTTAAAAAGTTAACGTTTATTTTGTACCTTATTTTAAAGGATTACCAGTGAATAAAACTTTTTGGTAAATGCTCTTTGCATAAATACCTTTTAACTTTTAAAATGCAAGATAACAGTATGTATTCAGCTTTGAGGAACGTTTATTAACTCGAAAATGCCTTTTAGAAAAATAAAAACGTTTAATTTCACTATTTAAACCTAAAAAGCGAGTGAAACCTGTCTTCTCAAGTTTGTCCAGAAGATGTCAGAACAACCTTAATAATTTCAACTCAGACACTGTTTGTGTTGTCCAGTAGGGGTCGCTATGACTTCCTGTGGCGTTCGGTTGACATCCTGTTGTTAGCCGCTTAGCTTAAAGTTAGCTTCGGCTAAACTCGGTTAAAATCAACATTTCTGAACGGATTTTTTACACAAACGTGGCAAAATTTCAACAAGCACGACTTCTTAGCATGAACATGAGTTTTTTGGGACAATATTGCAGCTTTATTTAGTGATTTTAAGCGTAGTGAAGGCTCCGGTCGTTAGCTGTTAGCTTAATATTAGCATCGCTAGCGTTGTTTAAAAACATCATTTAATGACGGGTTTTAAACTTTAACGTGGCAAAATTTCAGCGAGTATGCTTCGAAGCACTTAACCAGCGTGTCAAAATCACTTTAAAGCGCTTTTTTAGCTTTAAAAAGCAGATTTTATTTCCCTATGAAAACGAATTTTCATATCCGGGTCACTGACTGACACGTCAATCAGCCAATGAGAGAGCGGCACAGGGTGACTGACATCCTGTTCCAGCCAATGAAAGCGTTCCACGGCAGCTATATTCAACAAATCAGGAAACGTTAAAGCAACCAGCATGCTAGATTCACGTGCACTAAAATTCGTCAACTTTTCGTCTTTTAAACTGTCAAAATGCACTTTTTCTGTTAAAAATTGTAACGAATCAACTCTGAGCTTAGCTGAGACTTCGTCCAGTCTTTAAAACGTTTATCCATCTATTCAAAATACTCGTTCAAACTTAACAGAACCGAACTGGACCACAGTCCTGGTCTTTCAGCAGAACCTCCGTACTTTTAAACAGAATAACGTTTTCCACAGCTCATAAGCTTAGCTACACATAACAGACGTACAATTTTAGCTTTCATAAAGACTTATGACACTATTTCAGCTTTCTGTGAGCTTCCTGAGCATCACAGACCAACACGCTTAAAAACATGCAGCGTTTCGCTTCAGCGGCGCAGCATGAGCTGCGTTTCAGCACAGCTGTTAAACTGTTATTTTATCAACATGCCAACATTTAAAAAATCAATCTTTACACGAATTCACAGTCATTTATGAGCACGTTACGAGCCACCAATGTAGTATGACAATATAGGGAAATATATATACAATTTTCACGAGTTCCTCATCTTTCTGACTGTGTAAATGTCGTGCATTGAATTTTAACAGAAATGTAACGAGAGACGTCATTTATCTTTGACCCATATGATATTTCTAAAATATCTGTACTGATTTTATGAGAAAGCAGAGTTTAAGATGAAGATTTATCTTACAGAGAGATTTGTGAGGGAATTAATCTGTTTGACCAGAAAACGTGCACGCTCCATCAGATCTCAGCTTGCGACGGTACGCTCGGTTGAAGTAGATCATTACCTGGTTGACGATGACATCAGCTCGGTATAGAATCCTTCAGACT